CCTCTGGAATAAGGTGAATAGCCTCTTAACTGTTAGATGCAACCGGACAGAAAATTGTTATGAAAAACCACATCCTTTTATCTTGGTAGGAGACAAAAATAGAAAAAATAAACCACAATGTTAGAAATACATATTTTAAAGAGTTGCGCAGATGCAGCACAGTGACCACAATTTGTTCCACTCTTTGAGCTTTTTTCCACCCACCACCCAAAAGGGAAAACTCAAGTGTATGTTTGTTACGTTTTTGTTTGTTTTTTTTTTATAGTATTATGGCTAAAATTATTTGGGTTTAAAAACATGTACATTGTAATCTCTGTCAGTAAAAGAATGTGGTTTGGAGTTCAGACTTTTGGACGAAGAAATAAACAAATAAAATATAATAAGAAAGTTTATAAATGTGTTAAGTTTATTTAAAACCTCTTTCTTGTCTTTGTTCATGAATTTTAAGGTGCACTGCGCAACTTTTATGGTTGAGATTACACCACTGCATGTTATCACTTTGCCTGGGTTAGGGTTGCTGGGAATGTTCCACAGTATGGCATTAAACTTATCTATCAAATATTTATTGAATTACACATTTTTATTGCTAAAAAAATGCATTCTTACTTTATGGCTTGCCTCGCTACTGAGGAGACCTCGCTCGGTTCAAAGACTCAGTTCAATAAAACAGTTCAACTCAGACCTTTGACCAGAGAGGACAGAGCAACAAGGAGACACAGAGCAGCTCTTTATCCTCTCTGCTGGACAAAGAACATTCCAGATAGACAACGCAACAAGAAGTCAAAACTTCCAGTTCTCCCTTCCAAATTTGTGCACATCTTTTGATGTGTTTTTATCCAAATTACTATAGCTAATCTGTCCATATTGGTAGTCAATGGCCTTTTGGTTTAATTGGCCTTCATTTGGGACCAGTGCTGTTCAGACCTCAGGGACACTGGGAAGGTATCTTTTGTTCCTCTTTAAACAGAGGATACAGCGTTCCTTCAGCCTGACGCTGCCTGAGCCTGGAGTCATTGATTAGATCACGTGGCCTCCCTTCGTCTCAGCTCGCTTGATTCTTCAGACCTGGAGACTAGTGATTATTTCAAAGATTTTCTGCCCCAAAAGCTTTACTGAACAGGACAGCTGTAAGAGAGAGACAGATATGTGGTGAGTGCCTCACACCACAGTCCTCCCCCCTCAGAGCGCCCCCTGGCTGTGGCTCTGATTTGCCACCTGCTGGTGCTGTGTCCCTATGTGCTGTCCACTGTTATCATGGTCTCTCTCTGCAGACACATGCAAACAGGTGAGGGGCCTTGTCTGTGGAAAACTCCACTACTGCTGCAGTCAGTTTAGTAATAAAAATGTACATACATGTATCTATATAGATTTTATATTTTACACTGAAAGACATTCCTTCACATTATTGATTCACTCCACTCTCGGTGGTGCTACCTGTTTGTCTCCATGGATGGAGATGTCTTTGTGTGGAAATGTTCAACATTGTGGCATTAAAATGATTTTGTATTTATTCAAATTAATGCAGGTATTTTTATTTTTAGAGCCACATTTGCTACATGTGTCTCTTCTTGGTTTTTTTTATTTATTTACAAATACAGTGTGCAGTGGTCTGATTTTTGACACAAACTGCTGCTTTTATAATATTCTTTAAGGAGAATAGGTTAAATGTACAAATTTACAACAAAAAAACTATTATTTTTATTTGTTTGATTTATTGATTGGGGACAAGTATGTACTTTAAACAGTACAGTATTATAGCAGCCTTGAGTATTCCATTAGTATTTCACCATCTCATAATTGTAAAGTTATTCTTTTTGGTCTCTGCAGAGGAGGCCCCTCCCCCTGTGACGCGGGATTATGACATCACAGCGATTGCCACTGAGCATGACTTTTGATGCAGCAGCCTCCTGTGCACCTCTGATTCTTTGTTTATTTTATGTTGGGCACAAAGCAGAATGACCTGTTGATCTGGTTTTGGTTTGTGAGTTGGAGGCGATGCTCCTTCTGTTTGCTCTGCACAGAGTCACTATAAAATCATTTGAATATTGTCAAACACAGCGGTCCTTTCCCCAGTCCTGGTCCTGGTCCTGGTTTAGTTTTTTGGTCTTTTCAATAATGGTTATCCTGCTTCTTCTGAGCATGTTTGAAGCTCTAATCTGTGATTTAAATTCAGCATTCAGATGATCTAATTGTTAAAGTGCACTATGTAACATTTCTGAGAGTGTCAGCCATCTGTTTGTCCCTATGGAGATATTATTGCTTTGCCTGGAATGTTCCACAATGTGGCATAATCACCATGTAAGCAAGTAGAGTATGGCACAAGGCCCAGTACAGTTAGATCTGTGGAGAAATCAAAACGACCACAGTGACAAAAGAGATATAATTTTAATGCCATACTCTCGAACATTTCATATTTCATCATTTACTTGGAGACAACCAGATGATGCGCCAACACACCACAAAAGTTACATGAGGTTTCTTTAAGTTATGGGGTCATATAATTCCAGCTATGTGTGTGCCTTTTTCACTGTAATGACATTTTGGCAGATTTGAACCTGCCCCAGTTTCACTGTTGGCCTCAGTCCAAACTCATGCCTCATTCTTAAGACCAGGTCTTAGTATACAAGCACATTTCACAACTTTCATGGACCAAGTGAGAGTAAGAATTCCAATCTGACTTCCTGTTTGTGAATGAAATAAAAAACAGTTTTAAATTTGATGCAGCCAGCACACAGCTGTCAGATACTGTCACTAGGAATTACCATAACAAATGTATGAGGACGCGAATTTAACTACTAGAACAAAGACTGGATAGAGCCTCTTTAGGTTCTGATTTAGTCCTGGTTTAGTTCTGATTTATTACTGGTTTGTTCTTGGTTTAGTCCTGGTTTAGTCCTGGTTTAATTCCTGTCTTTACCATGAGCTGGTAAAGTCCAATACGAAAACACGAGACAAAACATGCACGCTGTAGCCATGTTCAGACTACAGCCGTGTTCAAACTACAGCTGTGTTCAAACTAAAGCCGGCTACAGGAAGAATATCCTCAGACAACACCCCCACAATTCCAACCAATCACAGCCAAGAGGGGCGGGGCTTTTACATTTGCTCTGTGTCTGATTCCTTCCTCTGTGCTTGAGCAAAAAATATCTTGCCCCAGTACAGACATATATGTACTGGGACAAATATGCAGAGTATGAGGTCAAAATAAGTCTGTTGTGTTCTGTCTGCATCTAATTACAAAGCATTTTATTGACCGATAATCAGGAAGTGCGCGTTTGGAGACTAGGTGTTTTGCCATCTTTACAGCAGCTCTCTGCTCTGGTTTCTGAAAGTTGTGAAAAGTGCTTTTAAATTCATTGTGGTGAGTAATTAGTATGCTCAGAATGCAAGTAAATGCTCATTTTTTAAAACAGCTTAAAAACAGTATAAATCAGGTACAACACCTTCATGTTAAAACTGCACTGTGTAACTTTTCTGGTGGAAGGTATCTGCTTCTCTCCATGAAGGTGCCGCCTGGAATGTTCCACGGTATGGCATTACATTTGTTTATGTATATCACAGGTGTCAAACATACGGCCCGGGGGCCAGATGCAGCCCTCCAAGACCTTTAATCTGGCCCCTATATGATTTTCTACTAAAATATTTTTATTATATTTTCTATTAAAATATTGTTAATTTTCTGTGGTGTTTATCATATCAGCGTCTCCAGTGTCTCTGTGCGTGGCCCCTCCCACCAGAGCAGCACAAAGGACGATCGTTTTGACTGTTGACCGTGACACCCTCATCAGCAAAATGTCCAACATGAAAAAAGTGGAGCCGAGTGCAGGATTTTACAACAAAAATTGACTCATTCCTATTTCCATACAAGTTCATGTTAAAACATTGTGTTGAAATTGTATTTTTCTTAAAGTTTCAGTTTGTTCATAATATTATAATATTTTGTAAAAGAAAGAATTAATCAATTAAAACAGATTTCTGTAATAGATTTGTGTTTCTTAAATAGATGAGAAAATAGTGTAATACAGATCCTTTAAAGTTGACTGCATACTAATCCATACTGTACCTTTGCTGTTTGAGCCTCTGATAGGTTCATAGACATTAACATCACCTGCAGATAATGTTTAAAAAAGTTAAATTATTACAACAGTTGTATAAAGTTGAATTTGAATTGTTTGTTTAGTTGAACTGACTGTGAAGAAGAGATGAATACAACTGCTGCTGATTGTCGGCAGGTGAATCCTCCGGGTCATTTTCAGCGTCACTTAAACATCAAGATTATGTTTACACGACAAGTCACGAGTTTGGACACACCTTCTCATTCACTGTATGTTTTTTTGTTTACTTCTTTCTATATTTTCTACATATAGAAGACATCAAATATATGATACAAACATGATATATGGAATTGGAGGAAAGGAAAAAAGTGTTTTAACTCAATTAAATATGTTTTTCATCATCACTATTATTTTTATATATATATAGCACTTTTGTAAACACTCAAAGACGCTATACAGAGAATACAATTAAAAAGAGTATTCTATTCAAATCCTCAAAGTATCCATCCTTTACTTTGTTGACAAACCCCTGGCCTTCTCTCAGTGATCTTCTTGATGGTCTCCTGAAATGGTTTTCACTTCAAGCTGTGTCATATCAAGGTCAAGAAATGCTAAAAATGCAAAGCAGTGATCAAAGAAAAGGGTGGCTATTTTTAAAAATCTAAAACAAGTTTGGAGTTACTTTGAGTTTATTTTTTGTTTCCTCCATTCTGTATGTGAGAATCTACAGGTGAATAATCATAGAAATAAGGAAACATGAATGAAAAAGTGTGTCCAAACTTTTGATTGGTAGTCTAAATAAAACTCTTTATGATACAAACCACTAACTTAAAATGATCTGAATAAGACCCACCTGTTCTGGCATCTTTCTGTAAAAAATAAAAAGATACTGAAAAACACTGAAACGTTCTTCTTGTGATTTAGTGCTGAAATCTTACCTGTAGTTTTTTTTGTACCAACAGACGACTATCAGGGTGAGAAGAATGACAGCACACACCAGGCCAGCAATAATAATAGGCCCATTAGAATTGACTAAAAAGACAAAAAGTGAGTATTGTTTTACCTGGAAGTCTAAGATATTTTTCCATATATACACTAACAACCATTATATTTACATGAGTAACTTTTTTAAAGAAATTGTACTGTTCAGAGTGCTTTAACGTCTAGCAGCATACTTTGACTCCTAACTGAGTAATATTTTTTGTTGAAATAACTGTACTTTGAATGAATGAAATGTTTCTCTGCCCACTGAGAGTAATTTGTCTCATTTTGAGTCTATCCTTTGAAAATAACAGAATTTGTGCAATATTTAATATTTTGTTCATACAATTAGGTTAACTTCAAATTATAAATTAGATATTATGTCCAGACAGTTGATCTACTTTCGAGTAGTATTTTTCCTAAATACTTTCTTGAACCACTACTTTGTACTTCTACCTGAGTTGAATGTTATTGTGAAGCAACGTTACTCTTACATGACTACATTTTTAGCTACTGTATCCACCTCTGGTAACAACTACTACAACAACAACTACTACTACAACTACTACTAACCTGTATCATTGCCTTTGGTTGATTGGCAGTTGATGCTCTTGCTCTCTGACACCTCACTGACCATATTAGAAACAGTACATATAACGGTAATGGTGCCATCTTGTGATGGAAGAGGGTACTCCAGCATGGGTCCATTGTAGTTCCTGTTGTTCACTGTCCACCTGTAGCTCACGTCTTTGTGAAATTCTGAGCTGCACTGTGTCAGAACTACACAGGAGCTGTTTGTGGTTTGGGTGATGTTGATGACAGTCACAGTGGGTGTCGACGTCAGGACTTCTGCAAAATTCAAAATATTTACAGTTAGAGTGATTATGTATCTATAACCTGCTGTCAACTGTCTGATATTTAAATATAGATTTATTTGAGCACAACTTGGCTAATTCACAATGAATGGAGCAGGAAGTGCGACTGCAGTTTTGAGAGACGTGGAACTAGCCAGGCAGCCGGGGCCTATTACTGCCAAATATCATATACAAAACAAAATGGAGTCAAAATGAACCAAATAGTCACAATTATTATAATGAAATACAACATTTTTTTTTCCAAACAATAAAACAGGCCAAAAACAAAAAGCTATTAAAATATACAATATCTATAGAAAATACTTACAACAATATCACTCTCCACTACATTTCATGTTACAATTTATCTTATTTGGTTAAGTATGCAGGAGTTTTTGTTTTGTTTTTTGTTTTTATGCTCTCTTGTGTAGTTGACTCCATATCACCCCAGGTATCATATGTGTTATTTATGTGATTTTGTGGGTCTTTGATGTCCCTGTATTTGAACATGTTGAATAAAAAAAAGGCAAAACAAAAAACAAAAAAACAAACAAAAACAAAACAACCAACAACAACAACAACAAAAAATCCACTAGGACAACATTTTTAAACAGGGTCATTTACAGTAGTTTATGACTCAGTTTCAAGAACAGGACCATGGCCATTTAAAATAAAGAGGAAATAAATCCACTTTCTCGGCTAAACTGTGTATCATAGACTGTATTTGGTGTTATCTGTTCCTTGGGATTTTTAGCAACTTAAGTGCCAACTAAATAAATTTGCAACTTTCTGTTCGAAAATGGCTGCAGGGGCAGAGTTTGTGGATACCTGTTTGACCAATCACAGTGCTCCTTATACCTCCAAACCCCACCCCTCCTCATCCTAGTCACTCTCCCCTGCCCCAGTTTAGCAGCTCTATTAGAAATGTGGTTGTGGGCGGAGTCCCTCTGTAAAGAGACGCAAAACTGACTTTTGTGAGTCGTGGTATAACTGGAGTTGTGTTTTATTTCATTTACATGTTTTAGTAAACCTTTATCATTAGTCTGTCTACAGATCCAAAACTCAAAATGCTCTGTTCCACTTCCACCCTATGATGTCACGTAGTGGTAGTTTTCAAGTTAACAGCTTTAACCTTTCTACTTTTTTGTTCAGTAAAGATTGGCAATTCCAGGGCTGAAATTATCCAGATGATTCTAGTGAAGGGGTATGAAGTTTAAAAACACAGTGGAGCCCTTCCTGTATTACCGCATGACATCACAAGGTGCAATAGAGTGTTTTCTGTTTAAGAGAAGAATTCTGCCTGAAAAATGCAGGATTTTGTAAAAACTAAACTCCAGGTACGTTTGTGTTGAGGAAACAACAGTAGATCAGAAAACAGTGTAATATGGGTCCTTTAAGTATTACAGTAATTTGTAATAGGTCATATGAATAAACATAGCTGTAGTCTCACCTTGTACCACTAGTTTGATGCAGTATGTACGGGTCTTTGTCCTGATGTTCCCTGTGAGATAAAAGTAAAAAATCCCCAGAGTCTGTGGTCTTCAGCTCTTTTAATGTTAAACTGTAATTTGTTTTGTCCATTGTCTCTCGGCCAGAAAACTGATGTCCAGTAATATCTGCTTTTGAGTCTGCAATTTTTTTTTCATTATATTTCCACTGCGCCTTAGTGATTGTTTCTTTGATTGGTCCTGGAGACAGCACAATGTTTCCTCCCTCTCGTCCATACTCTGTTTGACAACTGGAAACCTCAAGAGCTGAAACAAATCAAATGAAATGGGGGTCAAAAAGTCTTAGTATTTTAGAATAAAAATACATTAGCCACAGAAGAAAAATATATGCAAATAATATGCCAAATACAATGCTTTTCTAATATAATGTATAATATAGCTGTGATTAAAAAAAAGAAAAAAAAGAGGAAAATATGAAGTCAAGCACAATTTTGAAACAGCTCAATCAAAACAAAGAAGGAAGTAAAAAATTGTTAAAAGAGGATCCATGCAGAAGTAACTAAGCCAAGAACTATGCTCAAGTAAAAGGAATGTTACTTCAGAATAATATGTCTTAAGTAGAAGTACAAAGTATTTGGGAAAAGTACTATTGAAGTAACTGTAGGGACATAAGCTCTGATTTATAATTTGGAATTGAAAATGACAGATTTTGTGCATTATTTAAAGCACAAACACAAACATGAGAAAAACTAAATCATATCTGAAGGAGCGGTGCAAGAAACATAAATGTTCATAAATCATTTTATATTGTCAAGATAAAGCTTTTGTCACGTACTCACAGTGGGAAGAGGAACCACAACTATTACTTCATTTAAAATATTGCTCAAGTAGAAGTAAAAAATATTCTGCTAGAAAAGTGCAAATTCTTACTCAAGTAAATGTACAACTGATCTCTGCTACTATCCCATTATTTTCTACAAAGTGAAATTTGCTATTTAAAGGTGCATTGTGTAACTTTTCTTGGGCTTGAGTACGACATTAAACTTATCTGTCTGCACGGATGCAAACAGGCCAAGGTACAGATCATATCAGTGGAGATGCGAGCTCATTTACACAAGAATTTCTGAACATTAAAATCACTTCAAGGCTGAATAGAGTTTTAATGCCATACTGTGGAACATATCAAACAACGCAACAGCAGTACCCTCCACCAGAAAAGTTACACAATGCACCTTTAAGCGGCTTATGTTTAACTAAGTTAATATTTTTTAAAAGATAACATACTGTGACTCGGGACTCCAAGAAGCAACAGAGGTTTAAGTGTGAAGAAAACACAGAACAAAATGGGACGATCTGTGAACATGTCTGAATCTACTTCTTTCCTCGTGTGACCCTGTGAGAGACAAGTGCAGGACAGTGACAAATGACCGTCCTATTATTTAACAAGAGAAGTACAACCCAGTGTGTTAATATGTGTACAAAACCCTCATCCTGTAGTTTAATAGCAGACTCACATACCTTAAACAGCCTATATTACTGTATTATTTTCTGATCTGTGTTATAATATGGCAAAGTTATAATATTGTTTCCTCATCAAAAACATACCCAGAGTTGTGTTTTGTCAGTGTAAATATTAGAATTACTTTCACACTAACCTTCTACATAATCTAAAATGACACAAATATTTTTTGTTCAGTAAAAATGATAAATTATCCAAATGATTTTAGTGTGTATGAAGTTTAAAAACACAGTGCAGCACTTACTGTTTTACAAGATACAGACACATATCTCATCCAGTATCCAGTGTGAGGTATGTGCAAGAACAGCACATTCACATCACTTTAAAGGCCTTATACTAGTATTAAAGTATTTTCTGATCTGTGTTATAATATGGCAAAGTTATCATATTGTTTCCTCATCAAAAACATACCCAGAGTTGTGTTTTGTCAGTGTAAATGTTAGAATTACTTTCATACTAACCTTCTACATAATCTAAAATGACACAAAAGAGAATATCACAAATTCAAAACAAAAATGAGTTGAGATGAAGGGAGCATTCTGACCAGACGATGGCGCTGTGTGACAGTAAACAGTACAAAAGTGTGATCAACTTTTAAATAGACTTTATTAAACAAGAAAACAAGTGCAAACTGGGTACATTTACAACTGTCTGGTCAAAAACACCTACATCTAGTTTTCCAGTAGTTTTCAAGTGAACAGTTACCTTTTACTTTTTGCTTAGTAATGATTGGTAAATCCAGGGCTGAAATTATCCAAATGATTCTAGTGTGTATGAAGTTTACAAAATGCAGTGGAGCACTTCCTGTATTACCAGATACAGACACATATCTCATCCAGTATCCAGTGTGAGGTATGTGCAAGAACAAAACCACATCCTGTAGTTTAAAAGCACATTCACATCACTTTAAAGGCATTATACTAGTATTAAAGTATTTTCTGATCTGTGTTATAATAAGGCAAAATTGTTTCCTCATCAAAAACATACTCAGAGTTGTGTTTTGTCAGTGTAAATGTAAGAATTGCTTTCATACATAATCTAAAACGACCACAAATTCAAAGCAAAAAAATGAGTTGTGATGAAGGGAGCAATCTGACCAGAAGATGGCGCTGTGTGACAATAACAGTACAAAAGCATGATAAACTTTATAAATACTTTATTGTACAAGGAAGCAAGTGCAAACTATGTTGAATGAAAAAATATAAAAATTATATAAGCTGATCATCAGAAGTCTTACATTCACATGTTATAATTTTTACATGAGCTGATTTTATTTCTTTTAGAGACACTTCAGAGTTTTATTTTTTAAAGAATATTGCATAGAAAAGTAAATTAGCATTTTTGTTCATTATAATTAACACTACAAAAATGTTATTTGTCATTTGTCAAATGCTTGTCTCTATGGAGATGCTATTGCTTTGTCTGACATGTTTCACAGTAATGGCATTAAACCTTTCTTCATGGACACCAAACCAGACCAAGTTACAGGTCAGATCTGTGAAGAGGTGACCTCTCACAGCCAGAATGTGTTTGTTTGGTTGTTTTTTAGGTATTTTTGAGCTATGAAACCATCTGTAATTTAATAAATGTAAGGTAGAACTGTTTAATATCATAATGTGGAACAATCCAGACAAAGCAATGACATATCCATAGAAACAAGTAGGTGACTGGCCCCCAACCAAAAAGTTACATAGTGCACCTTTAATATCTGAAATGCTCAATGTAATAAAATGTCTGTCAGTAAAGCTTCAAGCATATAAGTTTGGTCAGCAAAAAACAAAAAAACAATTGGATCTAGATGGATATTTTAGATGTTTAGTTCTGATTTAGTTCTAGTTTAGTTTCGATGTAATCGCAGTTCAGTCCTGATTTGTTCTGGTTTAGTCCTGATATAGACCTGGTCAGTCCTGTTTTAGTTCCGGTATAGTCCTTGTTTAGTCATGGTTTAGTCCTGATTAAGTCTTGCAGTAAATAAGGGTGAAGTCCTGGTTTGGTTAGGCCGGACTCTGATCTCTGTGCCGGTTCTTGCATCGCTGTGTCTCTGCATCCTCTCCTCAGCTCTGGCAGCTGGATCTAAAAAACAGAAATAATCATATAACATCAAGAATATTCCAAATTAAACACATTTTAAGTTATTACATTATACATTACTTATAAATGACTCTGGTCAATTGGTATAAAAAATACTTCTATATCAGGCATTTTTATGGCATTTAATTTATTTATTGAATTAGGGGAGTTTTTGTTGTTTCACAAAGATCACAAAGTTTATTTGTATTGGAAAATTCATATTCTATACTAGAAAACATAACATGGACCTAACACAATAAGATTAAAAAGATGCATAAAAAAGTATTGGAACTTTGCAACTGTTTGGATTTTAGTTTTGTACAAATATGACACTAGCTCTGTTATAGTTACATTCTGGTTCAGTCCTGGTGTGGTCCTGGTCTGATCCTCGTCTAGTCCTGGTCTAGTCCTGGTCTAGTCCTGGTGTAGTCCTGGTCTAGTCCTGGTCTAGTCCTGGTCCTGTCCCTGGTCTAGTCCTGGTCTAGTCCTGGTGCAGTCCTGGTGTAGTCCTGGTGTAGTTCTGGTCTAGTCCTGGTCTAGTCTGGTCTAGTCCTGTCTAGTCTAGTCTTGGTCTAGTCCTCTAGTCTTGGTCTAGTCCTGGTCTAGTCTTGGTCTAGTCCTGGTCTAGTCATGGTCTGGTACTGGTCTGATAGTGGTCTACTCCTGGCTTGGTTTTGGTGTAATCCTGGCCTAGTCCTGGTTTGATCCTGCTCTAGTCCTGGTCTAGTCCTGGTCTAATCCTGGTCTAGTCCTGGTCTGATCCTGCTCTAGTCCTGGTCTAGTCACGGTCTGGTACTGGTCTGATAGGGGTCCAGTCCTGGCTTGGTTTTGGTGTGGTACTGATCTCTACTCTGTCTAGTCCTGGTCTAGCCCTGGTCTAGTCCTGGTCTAGTCCTGGTCTACTCTTGGTCTAGTCCTGGTCTAGTGTTGTCTAGTCCTGGCTAGTCATGGTCTGGTACTGGTCTGATAGTGGTCTACTCCTGGCTTGGTTTTGGTGTGGTACTGATCTCTAATCCTGGCCTAGTCCTGGTTTGATCCTGCTCTAGTCCTGGTCTAGTCCTGGTCTAGTCACGGTCTGGTACTGGTCTGATAGGGGTCTAGTCCTGGCTTGGTTTTGGTGTGGTACTGATCTCTACTCCTGGTCTACTCCTGGTCTAGCCCTGGTCTAGCCCTGGTCTAGTCCTGGTCTAGTCCTAATCCTGTCTAGTCCTGGTCTGATCCTGCTCTAGTCCTGGTCTAGTCCTGGTCTAGTCCTGGTCTGTCCTGGTCTAGTCCTGGTCTAATCCTGTCCTGTCGGTCCTGGTCTCCTGGTCTAGTCCTGGTCTAGTCCTGGTCTGTCTGTCCTGGTCTAGTCCTGGTCTAGGGTCTTACTTTGGTCTGGCTGATGGTGATGGTGGAGTAGCAGACAGTGGTATACAAAGAGCTCTCATCAAAATCTGA